ACTCAGGTTAGAGGATCCAGGACACAGGACCACAGCAACAGGATTAGCCACGACTCAGGATCCCGGCGTAAATATAGACACCAAAAAGAAATTTGGGGGTAGCTGGGTTATTCGTAAAATGAGTACAGGGACTCCCTTAGGATAGGCTGAGGGATAGGGGTAAGGAACAGAGGTGGAGAGGCACAACGTGTCTACGTACATGCACTCCCTGTTATGTTCTGTCAAATCTTTCTTCACTTGGTTTCAGTCAGAACAGCCACAGGTCATTTATAAGACTTTCAAGAACTAAACTGCTAGAACATAATAGTTTGTAGCGATCATAGTGGATATCTTTCAAACTTTTTGAGTCATTCCTCAAAAAAAGATGTAAAATATGATCCGGTTCCAGCTTCTCAAATGTGAGGATTTGATGCCTTTCTTTGGCATACATGACGATGAACTCCATATCTTATAAACTATATTATATTATGTATAACACATAATAACATAGTCTCCAGAAAGGTGAAAATAGATAGAATAATCAAAGAAAGACAAATCTTATATGTAATAGGTGGTGTACTAAATATAGCAGCAGGTTATTACTCTGCCGAGAGATAATGAGTGTTTCTCGCACAGATACAATAAAGGATCATGTTTTTTTTCTATCAAAGAGCTGCAATCCCTGTTCAGCCAACAAGGCACATTGCTGATGTTGCATATTTTCTCTGCAGAAAGAGGTCATGCACTACACTTCGACCTACTAAATGCCTTAAAAGGAGTGCGAGGGAGAAAGAGAGAGCAGTGGAGTCATGGGTGTGGTTTTTAGAGTGAAAATGGAAAAAATACATCTTGTTGGTCTTTGTAGTCGGGAGATAAGAATCAAGAAAAGTGACGTCATGCTCTCTGCAGAGGGATGGATCGGTTGTCTTATTTAAGCCAGATGTGCCCCCCCCCGTCTGTCCAAAGAAGGTGCAAAACTCAAAACTGGACTTTGATAATAAACGACGCCTCGTTTAGATGTGGCCCGTACACACATTAAACCTGGAGTAAGAGGACAAGATGAGGCCTGTTTCTGGCGTTTAAAAATAAATGATGTACACATACTGGCATTTCTGCTATTTAGAATTTCTAGAACATATTATTATAAACAAATCTATGATGTATATGATATGTGTAATAACACACTTCATTACACTGAAAGTTTGCTGTAGTTATTTCCCTGAAGGCTAGAGCATTTCTTTCTTTACACCATTTTTTTCTTGTGATGCAAAAATAAAATAAGGGTGATTTGTGTTACGGGAAAACTGCAAACCAAATCTAACTGGGGCTATGTATGTGATATATTCTTAAGGAGAGAACACCAATGGCAGAAAAGACTAACTGTGCATTTTAAATGTATATTTAATGACAAAGGTTTTTCTCTTTTTACCTTCATCTCACAGGGATTGGTGTAATGTTTTGAAAGGCCTATAACATCAGCCATACTTTTCCTGCATTCTGCGGTTTGCCTCCTCTATTTCTCATCTCCATGAGGAGTCCAGCTATTGTAAACATTTCACATTCTTCACTCTTGTTTTGTTAACCATGACTCCCTTCCCATGAATCCCCAGTCTCTTCTCGCCCTCTATTGTTATTATATTGTAAGACAAGCAAATATTGTTTTTCCTAAAACACTTCTCGGAGGAGAGCTATTGTCTGTTTTATTTATTCCTACCTTGGCTCCCATCCACACTTTCTTTATGTCACGAGAGGAGGACAGCTGCACTTTGAAGAGATATTGTTTGGTTTAGTGCCTCAATTTGTTCAACACCAATGATCATTTGCTGTCTTTTTTTTATGGGAAAGGTTTAGTTTTTATCCAGAGCTTTTTCTATATAGGAAATCCCAAAAATATGGGCAATAGATTTTCAGGCTTCAACGGAAAGAGATCATGTAGCAGCTACAAGGACACACTATGTCCACATCTCTGTGCTCACTGTCAAGGATTGGCCTGCAGTGTTGTGGTTGGAGTCAATGATGTGAGGAAAGTTGATTACAGTATCATGGGAGAGGTTTTTTTTTTTAGGTGAAATGTCTGCCTTAATCTTGCATCAGTTTGAAAGCCTCGCGTGCATCAGTTCAGATTAGTGAGCCATGAAATGAGGCAGGAAATGATCTCATAGTGTGCATATTCAGTTTCACCACAGGTCAAACATGGTCCAAGCAAACTAACTTATTCCCTGAAACGATGACTTAATCAGCCCCACATTGGTTCATTTAGGTCAAGTTTGCCAAAATACATACTGTACATTGAGGCTGCAATAGACATTCCTCATATCCTTGCTTTTTCTAAGGTATTACTCATCAAATGGTGGGTTTATGTGAGCCGAAGCACTATTAATGTCACATTGATTTGTCTTCCCAGAAGCGTGTCATGCACAGACATGCCTTCGCTGCTCTCGCTATATCTATACAGCCCTGTTGTTGTCATCCTGTCTTTAGCATTGCTCTATCAGTTCTGAGCAGGCTTTGACATGAGCTGTTATTCATTTCTCATTGTCACAGGAAGCACTGACGATTGTTTTGTGTGTGTGTGTGTGACTGTAGCCTGAAACAATGAGGGGGACTGCAGGGCTGGTTCATTATTTGTTACCCTGTTGTAGCTTTGTGCAGCATGTAAACATTGGGCAGGGAATGGTAGTGGTTTATGTTTGTTTTTTAAGAGCCAGCAGCAGCAATGTAAAGCTGGATGCCTCCATGTTTAATGTGCACAGATATTTTAATGAACCGTCTGTTCTGTTGCTCCAGTCAGCAGAGGCACCGCAGTAATGTGAATCCTGGGATTAGAGTTAATAAGTGTACTACTCTGAAGCCTGTGCAGTACTCTTTACTGGGTGGGTGAATCTGTATACAATTCAAGACTATGTGTGAAAGGGCTGAGGTTTTTGTGTTATAAAATGCCATCGCAAAAATAAAAAAACAGTTTTTACAAACTGATTTTTTGATTCCCACATTTCTAAAGCTCGTACCATCCCTGATGAGTACGATTAGGTTTTTTTGTGCGTAACGGGGCTCGCTATTACAAACACAAGCAACATGAGCAAACATGTCTGGTTTATCTCGATGATCTTAAACCACACCATAAAATGCAAAAAAGATGCAGTTGCAACTGTAAACATCCAAATCCCACACTAGATTGTGTTCATATGTTCTCATGCAGTTTTATGATGCATTGGATAATTATTATAATAGGCATTTTGGTGCATTCTCTTTTATTCTGGCATCTGTGAGTGGTTTAGGTAAGTGGGTTAAACTGGGCCTGTTTAAAAACCGTCTGATCACTTGTTTGCAAACCCCTTGTAAAACCGTCTCAAGCCGAGTTCCCGCAACTCCCTCTTGAAGCTATTAAGCTTGCAGTTATATGTTGTCTTAACTAAATGAAAGGATGGCCAAAACCACAACAATCAGACCTTTTGTTGTAAAAAACTAATCCATTATAATAAGAAATCCTCTTAAGCTATAACTAAAGTCACTCTGTAAACCACTTATAATGTTATGTGTGATTCCAGCTAATAGTCTAAGGTTGGATTTGTATCTGTGTAACCAGGCTTATCATAGATTTTGTTATTTAAATGTATTTTAGTAGAGTGGATATTACATCAAACCTCCTTGTGTAGTATGTTTCAAAGTCGTTGCAGTACAAGTCCTTATAAGCTTTTTTCAGTTTGAACAATCACATTAAAAGAAATACAACTATTATGAAAGAAGACTCAATATGGACGCAGTCTTAATTGTAACATAAAGTTGTAAAGCTGAAGTTACTGTATGTATGTATTAATAACTGTCTCTGTCTCTTCTTTCCACAGAGCTTTTAAAGCGGGAGACCAGAAGGTAAGGCTTTGTCTGAATCATCGATCTCACCTGTGTGATACTTGTATGCGTTGGCATGGTCTGCTACTGGACTGGAGTGACACTGATTGAATTTGAAACTTCCTTTAATCGTTGCTCACATTTGGCTTCAACAGTGTGTTATGTCACTTTGTGTTTAAATTCATCTGATTCACCTGCCAAGCTCTCACAGAGTCCATGCACTGTGCATTAGCAAAGCATCAGTGAGTCGCTGACTGAGATGTTTGCTGGATGGTGTGTTGTGAATACTGCTTTTTGAATCCCCTGTGGTTTATTTTGTGATGTCTTGCACAATCCCAGACTAATACCGACGCATTTAGTTTCACTGTCAAACCTCTTGAGCGCGACTTCCCAGCCTGATTACAATGTAAATGGTACAATAGTGACATGAGCTGCTTTGTGCTGAGTGTTGCTTTTAGTAAAGCAGCAGTAATACCTTTCCAAAAGCCAATGTGCCAATCAAGCAGGTGTTCTCTCGCAGTCCATGCATTCTGTGCAGTGAGAAATCTCATTAGTGAGACATGTCAGTCAAATATGACAATTTCTCCCTTTGAGCCTTTTTTTTTTACCAGCAGTAGCATATTACTTTAGCCTGTCTCTGGCAGACTGCCAAAACAAATAAAATGGCTGTGTTCACACTTCTTAAGCACTTCTTCGTTGCACAGAGAAAAGCCTGAAGGGTTTGACAGAGCTGATCCTACAGCCTGGGGTAATAATGTGCAGTCGGAGCTCTCTTTATATAAAGTTTGGGATTGTGCAACCACAAAAGGAACTTTCACTATATGTCAAAATGTGTAACTGCATGTTGTGTGTTGTGTTGCATTGTCTCCCTCTCCCACACCCTCGTAGGACTCACTTGCTCCGGCTTCTGTTCCGCCAAAGTACTCCTTTGCTCCCAGCACAACCATTAACAAGATGGCGAGGCCATTTACAGCAGGTGGTGCTGGTGGTGGTACTGCCAGCTCAGGACCCGCAATTAAACCTGTGGCATACTCCCCTAAACTTAACACCCCGAGCTCTCAGGGCCGTGCCAGTGTGAAGCAGCCACAGAATGGGTAGGTGGATGAATAAACACTATTCCCTTTGGAACCACAACGTGAATAATGTGGTTTTAATGGCATTTCTGATGACTCATTATTCTGGTTTTACACTGAGGAGAAAATAACTCCTTCAGGATTTCTAAACTGCATTATGTTGAGAACTTCATTCACTACCTTGCCACAATTATGTCACAGATTTTTAGAAGCGTTCCAGAAAAGATGATCATAAAAAAAGTACGCTGACTCACTGCTGCGATCAACTTAATTACCCCTCTCTCTGCCAGTAACGTAAGAAACAAGATGGCAAGCTTATGATAGATTTATACTTATTGTCCCTGGGGACAATTTGTTTTCACAGCTGAGGATTTGAACATAGTAACACGTAGCAACAAATATACATATGGCATCATACTGAAATTACAGAGAAGAGACATTTTATGTATGAATCCTTATGATGTCAGGGAGGCAGATTGTTCAAGGCTACGAACCTTTCTCCATTTAAGTGTCCTGTATCTCTTTCCACAAGGGAATGCTCTGAAGTGTTGGTTCAGAGGTTTTTTGTATAACGTTATGTCATTGCTCAAGACACTAGCAGTGCTTAACTGCCATTACAGATCATGATGGACTATGGCCAAAGCGTCATTTGGTGGAAATTGGAGGAGGTTGTGAGATATTGTTCTCAAACGAGATCCAAATGATCTTGTTGGCCTTTATCACACAGATGAAAGCCAACACTTTGACATCATAGAGGGGGATTTGAATCTGACATATGCGAATCAATCAACTGAGAGACTGGCTGTACGACAAAAACAGTTTCACAGATATTAGTGAAGCATGTGTCAACAATCAGTCCTGGTTTTAAGGTTGCTAAGTACTTTCTATGGTTTGATTTCTATTTTCCATCTTACCCTTTGGTTCCTATTATCCTCACCATTTGTGTGAGTGAGTGTGTGAGGGAGATAGACAATCACCAAAAAGTAAGACTTTTAACGCTTCAAGGAACGTATAATTTCAATCAACCTTTTCAAACGGATTTGCCATTTCAACAGATGGTTATTGACTGACGGCGATTTTTACTTGTCTTGCTTCTCCAGTCAGTAGTTTGATAAATAAAAATGTCAGAATGGATTTTTCAGCCCAGTATTTCTCGGCTTTAAGGAGCTGTGTTGTTTGGATTCTCTTTTAAAACATCACATTAGACAGAAATCATATCTCCAAATACATACATCTCTCTGATTGCAGTATGCTTTAAAATTGCTATATAAATAACATTTTCTAGTTTTTATTTTTCCACTCAAATATAACAATAATTCTAGGAATGGACTAAAACACATTTATAACGACTAAAAAAGTTCAGTTTTGCATAAAATTGCCTCCAAGAATAGGCCAGTCTTGTTCCTGTAATTTTGGTGATGGCAGTGGCAGCAGGGGAGATGTGGCCTGTTGCTGTATTTAGCCCCACCCATCAATTCTACTGAGTTCTCAGCCGCTCTTACCGACTGGTGCTGGATTATTTAAGCAGCCGTACTTGCTTACTCTTGAGGGCTCACATGGTTTTGGAAACCCATCATTCAGGCCATTTATTTAGATAAAAAGAGCCGAATTATAAATGGCAGCCACTTTTAATGAATACATTGATAACAATACGTCTCATGTGACAGGCCTGTCCTGTCGTATTGAAACAGGTTTTGTGTGATGTTGTTTGTTCAGAGCTGAACATGATGACATCCTGATGTGTCACTGCTGTGGCATTTATTGCCGTTGACTAGAATCAGGCGATTGTTTATCCTTTTTGTTTTGGACAAATGCTATACCCATTTACATAACTCTGTAAAGCCTTTGTGCACATGGGGTGAGAGGAGCATTGGGCAAAGGTTTTGTGCCTGATCTACTGAGTCGTTTTGGGTCAGGGTGACAATAGATGATCTGACAGACAAACAATGCCTCTTTCTCTCACAGAGCCTGTTGACAATAACCGCATGTCTCGGGCACCTCCTGCATGTTTTCTGCATCCTGGCGCACTGTTGCTCTTTAGTTGTGTACAACCTCCGAAATACATGAAGATGTATTCTGTTTTTCCCTCCGTTTAACTCAAAGCTGAACTCTGACCTTTTTCTCTCATTTCCTGTTTTCTTCTTTTATTTTAACGCCGCAGATGGAAAATCTTGACAAGTTAGTATCTATATTTTTCTTTATTTAACAATCCAGATGAAATAACATTTTCTTGTTTAATTTTTGAATTGTCAATCACACTATCTCTATCATTGATGACAATGGTTTCCCCACTTGAGTTTGTCTTGGTACTCTTCATTTACTCATGGTTAACATATATTTACTGGCTGTGAGCAGAGAAATAGTAGAGGCAAGTCTAAAAGCATCAACACATCTTGATGGTTTATTTAGCACCCCATGGTGGGGCCTGCACCACTACAATCCATTAGACCATTTTCTAATAATGCTCCAGTTAAATTGAATCATTAAAGAGCCTGTGACACGAACCCAACAACTGTTGTGCAATGAAATAGTGGGCTACTAGTAATCTCGAACCGTCAGTTTAAAAAAGAAAAAGCGATACCGTTCCGATAAATATCAATAATTTCGAACATCGCGGGAAAATTCCTTCGACTCATTTTGAGGTTTTGGGGGAAGCCGGAAGTGACGTCAATGCGGGAACGCTTCACTGTGCGGCGAGAGAGCCAAACACGGACAAAGTGTGTTGTCATGCGTAGAAATGGTGAATTACTGAGTTTAGGCACGTTAATAACGTTTTAATGAAGTTGACTACAGTATATTCATATTTGTCAGTGCTTTCATGTCAATTCGGTGAACATAGACATAAATGATCGTGGTGAAGATGATGATTAAATTAGGATTACAAATCGGTAGTGAGAGCTGCTGAATTTCCTCCCGTCGGATGTGATATAAAAACAAATCGATTATTTTTGTAAACTCAAGTGGATGAAACTACATTTATTAGTGCTTTCATGTCAATTCGGCGAACATATGATACATTAAATGATCGTGAGGATGATGATTTAAAAATCTTTTGTTTGAGCCGGTCTGCATTTCCTGATGAGAAGACAAACCTTAGCTTTTTGTAGTTGCAGTCAGTGGTGTAGTGGGCGTTGGACGCGGGGGTACGCCGTACCCCCACTTATTTGAAGCATGTATTTCTTTTTTAATAGTCTAATACATCTAAAATCATTGCCAGTGTTATCAGTTGCTAAGTGTGTGTTTGTTGTAATAATGAACGAAAACATAATAGGCAGTATTTCACAGTAATTATAATAAAAACGTAGCTCAAGCATTTATGCAACTTGATTTGAAGCGTGTGTGTGTGAGGGGCAGAACGTGTGTGTAGGGTGACAGGTGTCCCGCACTGTGCGGGACTGCACACACAGCATTTTTATTATTTGTCCGCGTCCCACACATTGAGACTATGTCCCGCATTTGAGTGTAGTCGCGCAGAAAGGCCGGATCGGTTCGCTGACAGCCGGCACCGCCCTTTATTATTATATTGTCTAAACGGCATCATGTAAGTTGCGCTGACAGGCGACACAGAGGTCCCCAAGCCCCCCCCCCGTTGACAGTTCACGAGCGCGTCCATAGTGTCTCCCGTCCACCCACCACCCCGTCCACCCAGTAAAACATCCCCACTACACCACTGGTTGTAGTAGTACACCAACATGGATTAAACGTGTGTTTTCTTTTACCACAATGTTGGGGAAATTAATGGATAAAATGCACGGATTATTATTATTATTATTATTATTATT